CTTCATTCCCATGACAATTGTAAGGAAAACTATAATAATCTACTGTACTGATTTATAACATATTTTAGGTGATGTTGTGCCAATTGAGCCTAATTATAAAGAGATGATTGAGCTAATGAAAAGTAAAGATCTCATGTAAGCAGATCTATTAATTGTATGGTTTGATTGTTTACCATTAAAAGGTCTGTTTTAAGCAAAGTTATTCTGTTGCTAAACTAAGCATCTATACCTTTAAATTATAAAATATAATGTCATTTTATGTAGAAATTTAGTCATTCTCCATAAAGAAAAGCACCTTTCTTGTTTAAAACGAATTCATTTAGAAAAAATGGTATTGAAGACATTGAAATTTCTAGAAACATTAATTCAACAAATCAAGGAAGACACTGTAGCTTTTTGTGATGATGATGCTCAACAAAAGCAAGTTGATTGGCTGTGTAGTGTTTTGCATGAATGGTTATACCTATAGGGAGTTGAGAATTGCTAAAATTATACTACAAATAGATGAAGACTGCAAAACAAATAAAACAGACACAGTGAGACCTTACATTTATATTATTATATGACATTATGTTAATAGCTATTCGACCTCCTACAACATCAAAACATTAATATTATTGTGGCAGTATTGCAAGTACTGAAGTGTCTTAGTTCTTTGACTAAAAATGAAGATATAGCCAGAAAAATTCAGATAATGATAATAAAAAGTTGCAAAGAGCACAATTGTATTCTTATAGTGAAAGTGCACCAATTGTTAAAAGAAGTCCAATTTGTCATCAGCAAAATGAAGTAATATAGATCCAGCAGTGTTTTAAATTATTTTATTTAATATTGCTACAGGGAAAGTGAATGGGAAAGTGTACTTAAAGTAATATTAAAACCATGCTTTAGTTAAAGTAGGATAATGATATAATTTATAGGCCATAGAACATAATATCACAGCTGCACTGGATGCTATTTCTTTATTATGTGACAGACAACAAAAGGAAATGCAAGATGCAATGCAAAATGCCTCAAATAATGTAAACTAAACTGTATACTTAAAATCAATGTTGTAGCCTTTTTTTAGGGCTTAGATATTGTTAATCGAATTTCCTTCATGCTTTTTTACATTTCTAAAAAATGTAATGGCAGAACAGTTATCATAGCACAAAAAACTGTTCAGGCATTGATAGAAATGTGCACTGGGAATTACAATAATCAAAAAATTGCTATTGATAGTCAAGTTATTGTATCTATCAATCAAATACTAACAGAAGCAAGAACAGAAAACAGTGAACCACAGGGAAAAAGGGAACTACACTCATCATGTTTTGAATTGCTGGAAGTGATACTAGAAAAAGATTCACCTACCTTAGCCAACTGTATAGCAAATCATTTGGAGGTTGAAAATTTGTTAAAAGAAATGCGACAGTCATGGCAATCAGTGAGAAGAAATAAATGTAAGAGTTTATTGGTTCTTCATAATAGGATAGACCTAGATCATGCACTGTATTAATCAGAGCTTATCATGTTCTGAAAAAAATTGCAGACTATAAATGCTTGAGTTTGGATCAATTAGGTGAGGTATAGATCTATTTATCAAGTTTTAGTGATATGAGACATATGATTATATAAATTTTAACATTGGTTGCAGTAAATGAAGAAACTATATCAAAAAAAGCAACTGTAAGCTTGTGTGGAAAGTCCAATGAATCAGAAGATATGTGGCACTACTGCCTAAAATGGTCAAAGAGTGTAGAAATTATTCACAGAGAAAATGAAAACAGTGAGACACTGACTCGAGTCTACTTTCCTTGTGACCCAGATGTAAGCATCTTATAAAATTGTACACTATTTTATAAATAGATCCACTAACAGATTCATATAAAAGATAAGAACAGAATACAACAATCCATTAAAAGAAGTACTCCACAAGAGAAATTGATTGATCTACTTGCATGGACAGAAGCTGTGAAAGCAGACAACAGTGAACAAAAGGTTTGTTAGTGTTCAAATGTACAGAGTTTCTATTTTATTACAGAATAAGTTAAGAAAGTCTAAATTTATTCATTTAATGTTTCTAAAGACAAAGTAAGCTATTGCAGCAAAAAACAGTTTTTATAATTATTTCTTTCAGGAATGCAAGAGATTTTTTATTAGCATTCCTGACAGTTTTCTTGAATTTACTTATCCTCCTTACAGTGGAAACTCCACCAGGGTAAGGAAATTAATGTACAAGTTGTAATCTGTCTTATATTACAATAGTTACAACATGCCTGGTAATAATATCTGCACAACCAATGAAACATCATGTAACATTACCAATATATATTTCCAACCTATTCCATCTCCTGACATACCACTTTGGTCTACAATAATTTTGAGCATTATTGGTTTCTTACATGCTATACTAGCATTATTGATGGTAATTGAATACTTTGCTAGAAATGGGGGACATCTGAGATTTCACTTAAGAAACACTTTTTTGTAAGCATTAATTTCTGTAATAGTCTAATTTTAAAAATGTCTTTTATGAATTAGAAAAATTCTCATCACTTGTAATCGTCGAAGCTCTGAATTAGAGCAACCACAATCAAATGAGTATTTTGTGGTACCCATTCTAAGTTTTCAGCCAATTTACAGGATTATTTTCATGTTTTGTTCAATAGTGGCATGGATTCCTTATCCAACTTTATTAAGATACTTATACTGTGTGTGCATGCTTTACCCATTTCTTGGCTTTGATGTTGTTTTATACATTTTGAAAGCACTCAGAAAAAGCTGTAAGAGGCTATACTTATTTTGCACCATAATGTTCTTTTATGATCATAGTGAAACAGCTATTTGTTGTGCTATTGCTGTGCTTTGTCATCATGTACATTTACGCTGTAATCAGTTTTGCTTTATTGAATAACTACTTCTCTGAAGATAAAGATCAGTTTTGTGGTACTTTGCTTCAGTGTTTCTTCACTGTATCACGTTTGGGTTTTCTTACTACCTTGGGATCTGTAAGTTAAATTTTTATAGTTTTGTAATTATTTTAATGGGACCATAGGAACTTGACATCCGTCCATCAAATGACTACGAATCGAATTTTACACTTTATTTTTTACGTACTTTTTATGACATCATATTCTTTATTGTAGTTACTACATTGAGCCTTAACATTGCCATTGCTATACTTGTGGATAGATTTTCAGCTATGAGAGAGAAAAAAGTCAGAAAAATAATTATTTTAAAAAATACCAAAACTTACAGGAAGACATTGAAGAAGATATTGAAAACAGGTGTTTCATTTGCAGTATTGAGAAAAGCGAGTTTGACAAGCGGAAAAAAGTAAGTTCCTCAATATTTGTATAATATTGCTCTAATTTTATTTCACTGAAGGATTTTAAGAAGCATGTAAAAGAAGAGCATAACATGTGGAATTATATATTGTTTATAATACATGTGCAAAACCTTCCAGAAAATGAACACAATGCTCTGGAAAAATATATATCAGAGAAAGTAAAGTTGTCAATTAACCAGTATTTAATTTATGATATTGATGTTAATAAAGATAAGAAAGATGGAATCAGAGAAGACAAAAAATGAAGATCAGAAGTCCATTGATTTTTTCCCAATATTTAGAGCCAAATCTCTGCCAGACTACAAAGGTATAAATCTATATTGTGTATAATGAGATAATAATTTTGCTTATAATTATAGCACAGGCAGTTGTGACTCCTCCAACTTGATGCAATTGGAAAATTATGCTGTAGTTAGTCTAGTTTTTGGTAGAAACTTAGTGAATTATCTAGCTCTAGTCTTAGACCAAAACCACTTATAACATTACATTATGATATTAAATTGCTGATGAACTAATTGCTATTTTTGCTACATAGATAGTTTTCTGCTTAGTAATTTTTAATTTGATTAAGTTTATGACACATACAGTAATCAAGGTCTAGTCTGTAGACACAAATTGCTTGGATCTTTATACTGAAAAAATTGGTAATGCTGCTTTTTCTTCCTCATGAAGTAGCTACAGAGTTTAAGTGATGGTGCACTGGTTGAATTTGAAGATATTATAACCTCTCTCAGGCTCAGTATTTTGAAGTGACAGGTCAGTGTTATTGATAAAGGTGTGGAATAATGATCATCTAGACTGAGCATGCTCAGAAGTTATGCACACACATGATTTAGTATTAATTATTACTATGCATTATTATTATAATAATATATATATACACTGTGTAACCAGTTGTTGAGTCACTTGTTTATTTGTATAGTCAGTTTCAGTTGAGTTTGACCACTGACCCACCCTTATAACTTCTTTATTATTTATGCTAGCAATTTGAAACTTGGTATAGTTGCAAAACGGGTTCTTCCGAAAATCTGTACCAATTTTGGAGTCTCTAGGTACTCTGGAAGGTTCTCAAAGGGTTCTTCCGGTCAACATGAAAGGGAGCCGCCATGATTTTTCATGACGTGAAGCTTCGTGAATATCATTTGCATCTCATTAAATATGTCAATAATCATGTTTTTATCATTTAAAAATCAAATAAAGCAAAAGGATCACTCCAGGCCAAGATATAATTGAACTAGAAGACTTTGCACTCCAGAAAGAAGTCTCACTTAGTCTGCTGTACCTCTCTAAGCCTTCGTTATTTGTCTTCAAAATTGCCGCTTAGAAACTCCGTTGAAATTTTGCATCTCTTGATTCTTTTTTCAGGTAAATAGCAAGCACAAAGATCCTTCATGTCAATTGCAGGGCTAGCAGTGACCAAAATAGGATAATAAACAAGTTACAACAAGAAGAAAGGAGCATGATGAAGTTTTCAGCCATTTTATTTGCGTGTGGGTGGGGCTACACGTGACGTTTTGATCATAGATAATAGAGTAAATGAAAGTAAAGTAAAGTAAAGTAAATGTTTACTCTAATATCTATGTTTTGATGATGAAAACATCCAGTCAAACTCAACTGAAACCGACTATATTGCTCTAGCTTTTCTCTCTTTATTCTGATAATAATACTTTGTACTGACTGGTGATTCAGCAGTACACAATCAGAGTAGATAGTTATATTACAAAAGGGAGGGAACTGAAGGTCTTGTAAAAGGAAGAAAGGGTCTGGCAAGCCAGACTAGGAAGAAAGCTTTTATTACAGACCTTGTTTGCACCTTAAGGTGTAAACAAGTGCATAACCAATTCAAGGTGATGTTTTCTTATAGTTTACCGTAAATCTATAGTTGTGGTAGACAATGCATGTCACTGAAGTGAATGATTCTGCCCATCAAATTCAAATACATAGTCACATGCTAAAAGCATATCCTAATGTAAGATTTTAAAAGAGCTACTACTAGCCAGCATACTATACTATACTATACTATACTGTGCTATGCTATACTACTATAGCCAGTTATTACTAGAGCATACTATAGCCAGCTCTTTGTGCACAAACAAAATGATGTGTGTATGCTTGCTGGTTGCTATGTCAATGGCATTTAAACAGTTTAAGGTGGGTCAGCACAATTCCAGTGATATGACAGTTTAAAGTCACAAAACTGAGCTGAGCCAGCATGGTTTGTACAGACAACAGAGCCAGTTCAACCTGTTTAATCCACTTCTGTATTATAAACATAGTATTAGAATGAAATGTTTTGATTTCTTGGCTTTGTTTGCTATACATGGAGCATCTCACGGGCAGAGTGTAAGGCATGTGGCAATGATTGTTTACATTATGTGTATATGCTTAATGTGTTCTGGAGTCATGGAACAGGAGGATTGTATTTATTGTAAACTATTCCTTAGGTTGCATTTGGCAAACACAACAATAAGAGAGATAAATATCAGAAATTTTATGACTATGTTACTTAAAGATTTGACCAAAGGCCATGAATGTGGTCTTGTTTTACTGTAAAATGACCCCAAAATCATCCCAATTTTTGTTACATTTTTTGGTACATATTAATGTACTGATGCTATGTAGAAAGTTTGAACTGATTCCGACTACAAATTTTCGAGTTATGTCCATTTTTTGAAATTGGCCAAAATCTGAAAAATGCCCTGTACTATAGCCCATGGTTTTTTTCCAAAAAATGGCTAAAAAATCACCCCCAATTTTTATTACACTTTTTGATACATATTGATGTACTGATGCTACGTAGAAAGTTTGAGCTGATTCCGACTACAAATTTTCAAGTTATAACCATTTTTTAAATTGACTAAAATTCGAAAAATACCCTTTACTATAGCCCATGGTTTTTCCGAAAAGTGGCTTCAAAATCACCCCCCAATTATTATTCATTTTTTAATCACCGTACTTGCCCCAATTAACACACCCTCCTAATTATTGCTGCTATTACACCTCTACATGGCTTCCACAATAAAAACTTTCTATTGAGTGCACCTCCTGGTCAAAATAGTTATTTTTGAGAGGGTCATTGTAATTAGAAAGTCCCATTGTTTAATGTTTACAGGTGTATTGAGTACTTTGCTAAGCACCTCTCTAAACAAGCACCTCTGGAGCATTTCATAATTGTTCCTATCTAAACAATTCACCACCTGAGACATGTACCATTTATCAAGAGGTGTGTTAATTGGGGCGAGTATGGTAGTCTTATAAGGTCACTGCAGCTTGATTCATAATTTCCTGC